TGTAGAGTCCTCTAATTTGACTGCGTAAGTTTTTATTGTTTATCTAAACCCGTCGAATAAATTTGCATTAAGCAAATTACCAAAAAATGTGTGAGCTGTACACTATTCAGTGGCTATACTTACTTGAGCAGTATTGAATCGGTTCATTATTTAACAGCAGATCAATATAGGATTCCCCTTTATTAATAACAAATATGACGTCATTGCGATCTCGCACTGTACGAGAATTCGGAAAAATTAAGAATACCACGAAAACACATATACCACGAAAACATATGACGGGACGGTAAGCTTTGAATTATCATTTTTGAAAAAAAAAATCAATTATTACAACATTTCTAAAAATAACAGTTGTCATATCTGAATCAAAAATCTAAATCTGTTCAGAAACATTTACAAATCAAATTGTGGCAAATTAATGTGGAAGAAATCGGAGAACATCATAATCATACCAATCTTCGGGTTCATCTTGAATTTCTGACACATCCATTCTCTAAAAAAAATCTTCGTTAAATCAATTTCACATTGTGTAAATCTTCACTTTGACTATTTATAATATTTCGTTTGCTGAAAGGTAAGATATACTTTTATATGAAGAGTTGAACAAGTAAGTCCCACTCTCTGGTTTCAGAACTCATAGACCGCCAGCTAAAAATTTCACTAGGAAAATTAAAAACTTTTTATATTGATTTTCATGAACAACAATAACATTAGAGCCACATGGAAAAGAGTTTGAAGTACTAGTATGAAGTGCTGCTTTTTTTCAGAAATTATTCTTATGTCAGATCATGATATGAAGAAATTTCAACACAGATATCAGACAGAGTAACGATTTATTATCACAACATAAAATCTAAAATATGAGGTGTTTTTAAAGAATAACTGTTTTATAATTAACTAACCAATTTGGAAAAAAATTGGCAGAAAAATAAGAGGTAATGTTTTCATCATATGTTAATTTTCGTCGAATTGACTACTCAGAGGTTTCAATTAGGAAACTCTGATAAAGAAAACTATGAGTAGTATTCATATTTTGTACTTAAAGGTGAAATCTTTCTTATCACAAGGGCTGATAACCCTTTATCTTTGGATCAATATATAGTTGTAACGAATTATTACAAAACTGATATTCCCCAAAAAATTTATTTTATCTTTTTCATGTCTAAAATTTTGAAAATAAGATAATGTTCTCATTGATGTCTTGAAGGAGGAAACTTATATCACTTGCTGTTATCTTTTCATTTTAAAAGAACAAACTCTTCGGAAATTCCTTGAAGTTAAATGGGTAAGCATGACCTAATTTATGGAAACATCGTTTTGTAATCAATGATTTCTTCACATTGAGCATAAAATGTTTTTATAATTTGTCTCAATTTTCAATAATGATAATAATCACAAAACACATCAAATCTGTCATGCCCACTAAGAAAGTACTGCATTTGATTCTGAGTACACTTACTTTCCTGGTCCGAAATATCTGACGTTTTCCAGGCTTTTTTACTATTTTGATATTTTAGTACATGCCAGGAAAACGTACGAACCGGCGCCATTACGAAAACTGGGAAATCGCCGCCTCCAAACGGAAGCGGCAATTTCTAGTGGATTTTAGAAACTCGCTAATCGAATCAAATTTCAAAGTCACATGTTATCAATAGTACAATACCTTTAGTACTTTCTAATATCGTTTTTAGCTCACCTGAGCCGAAGGCTCAAGTGAGCTTTTCTGATCAAAATTTGTCCGTTGCCTGTCGTTGTTGTCGTTGTCGTCGTCGTCGTAGTCGTTGTCGTTGTAAACTTTTCACATTTTCATCTTCTTCTCAAGAACCACTGGGCCAATTTCAACCAAACTATCCTTGGGTGAAGGGGATTCAAGTTTGTTCAAATGAAGGGCGATGCCCTTTTCCAAGGGGAAATAATCATGAATTTGTTAAAAATTAATGGCATTTTAAAAAAATCTTCTTCTCCAGATCCGCTGGGCCAGGAAAGATGAAACTCATGTGGAAGCATCCTCAGATAGTGTAGATTCAAGTTTGTTCAAATCATGACCCCCGGGGCAAGGGTGGGGCCAAAATGGCCGACCCAAATTTTACATAGGAATATATAGGAAAAATCTTTAAAAATCTTTTTCTCCAGAACCACTGGGCTAGGAAAGATGAAACTCATGTGGAAGCATCCTCAGGTAGTGTAGAATTAAGTTTGTACAAATCATGACCTCCGGGGCAAGGGTGGGGCCAAAATGGCCGACCCAAGTTTTACATAGGAATATATAGGAAAAATCTTTAAAAATCTTCTTCTCCAGAACCACTGGGCCAGGAAAGATGAAACTCATGTGGAATCATCCTCAGGTAGTGTAGATTCAAGTTTGCTCAAATCATGACCCCTGGGGCAAGGGTGGGGCCAAAATGGCCGACCCTAGTTTTACATAGGAATATATAAGAAAAATCTTTAAATATCTTCTTCTCCAGAACCACTAGGACAGGAAAGATGAAACTCATGTGGAATCATCCTCAGGTAATGTAGATACAAGTTTGTTCAAATCATGACCCCTGGGGCAAGGATGGGGCCAAAATGGCCGACCCAAGTTTTTAGAGGAATATATAAGAAAAATCTTTAAAAATCTTCTCCTCCAGAACCACTGGGCCAGGAAAGATGAAACTCATGTGGAATCATCCTCAGGTAGTGTAGATTCAAGTTTGTTCAAATCATGACCCCTGGGGCAAGGATGGGGCCAAAATGGCCGACCCAAGTTGTACATAGGAATATATAGGAAATATCTTTAAAAATCCTTCTCAATTACCACTGAGCCAGGAAAGATGTAACTCATTTGTTATCCTCCTCAGGTAGTGTAGATTCAAGTTTTTTCAAATCATGACCCCCGGCCCTGGGGATAGGGTGGGACCAAAATGGCCGACCCAAGTTTTACATAGGGATATATAGGGAAACCTTTTTAAATCTTTTCAAGTACTTCAAAGCTATGATTAGTGATACCCGGGGTATTTATATGGAATCATCCTCAGGTAGTGTAGATTCTGGTTTGTTCAAATGATGAACGCCTGGAAGGGGGGGGGGAGTAAATTCAAGTCCGATGTGCTCAGGTGAGCGCTGTGGCCCCTGGGCCTCTTGTTATGCTTCAGTTATAAAACATACAATCCGTTTAAAACATTTTATCAGAGTGTCGAGATTTGTCTTTATTATTTCGTGCATTTTAAAATCTTGCAAGTCCTGTAGCGAAATGTGGAGTGATATTTTCTTTTCATCGATATTGGTGAGTAGTTAGTCTAGAGGCATTGTGCTATTGTTAAATTCTGATTTCGGCATTTAGCTCGGTTCGCAATTATAAAAAAAAATGAACTCCGTTTGGGAACGGCAAAATTTCAAGTTTTCGCAATGGCGCCGGTTCTGACGTTTTCCTGGCACGTAAAATATCAAGATCGTAAAAAAGCCTGGAAAACGTCAAATATTTCGGACTATTACTTTCCTATATTGTTTATCTAAAACGTCCCATTTTTAGTCCTTGCTAACATACACATATAAAAGAAATATATCGTTTTTAGATATCCACAGTGATACATGTATAGTACAACTTAACTGTTATTTTAATACCTTTTGTCTGCCTCTGACTGCATTTGTTCAAAATCTTGTAAGCAAGATACTTTTTTATATAGTACAACTGAAATGTTATTTTTATATTTTGTAAAATATACCTTTCCTCTAACTGCATGTGTTCCCTTAAACAGGTCGGAGAGAATACTCGAAATCGGGTATTATCCGTGAATTCGCGTATAATACTCGATATCAGGGTATCGTTGAATCCGCGAAATCGGGTATTCCGTGCAACTTTCTAATAAAACTAAAGAATAAAGCAACGGCGCATTATGCCAGTAACTGTTACTTGTACATCAGTATCTTGTGGATTTATTTTTGTTAAACCTAATTCATACGGTTGTCAAATAAGTTTAAAATCACACGACAAACACTGCTGGGGTAACAAAGAGGACACAATGGCCTTATTATTTTTCAATATAATTTCTAAAAACAAATAACTACACTTCGTTTGTCTTTATTTCCCATTAAAAAATTCCATATACTTAATTTTCTAATTTGTGCACTATTCACAAAACGTGAAATTTTAAAGAAATTAAACGACTAACGCCGTGTTATGTATTTTTACTGAAAAATGTATGGCGTCCCTTTCACGTGAAATATAAATTATTCCTAACAGTTAGAGAGTACAGTATAAGCGAGTCCTAATTGTATATTTCTGCCATAATAGAATACCAACGTTATTATAAAGAAGAAAATAAAATAAGATTAAATAAATTCCCACGGGAAAACAGTTTGAAAATAGCTAATTGAAGGTGAGTATCTTTTTTTTATGTCAATTTAGCATGAAATTTGTATTCAAACACACCGTAAATTTTTTATTTGCATTTTAATCGATACAAGATATGCTATTTTACCTTTATTTTATGCATTTGTGTGAAAATTGAGAGCGAGAATTCATATGAACAGGATTTTCTTTTTTTTGGGGGGGGGGGGGATGGGGATATAAATAAAAGTCAAATGTGTACATCTTTTCATGAGCTTATAATACATTGAATTTCGGAATATAGGTCGAGGTACAGTCATATTGAAATATGAATTACATAGTCAAGTTTCCACATTTCTTATAGTTTTTACGTTTATGAACATGTTAATGAACAAACTAAAATAATGGAGTGTTCAATTGCCTTGGAAACTCTTGTCTTACTTTTTGGGAATATAATTCCTCATCGGACATTAAAATTTCATAAAAATCGTAGCCACTTCCTTTCTTTATTATACTATTTGATAGACAGGGTAAATTTTACCTCTTTACCTTCTATATTTTTTTTATATCGCTATCTTATACCTCATTATAATATGTTAATACAACGCATTGATTGGTTCTAGACAATATGTCACAGTTTTCTTTTAGTTATTTTATCTATGATACGTATTACTCATGACAATAACTTTTCCTAATACGCATCTATAATGAAAAAATGTGTTTTAAAAATAAACATGAATTTTAGTTACTTGTAGTCTCATATTGTGTTAGAAAATAACATGTTGCTTTTTGTTTACCTACAATGTATATGATTTTTATTTGATGAATAAATCTTCCCTACAATTAAAAATATATGACTGAGTTTAATCGACCGTGATATTCAAAGAGAGGTCTCTTGGACACGTGTAGAACACAGTCGAGGTTGTTTTGTCAGAGGTGGTCAAGAAGCCTTTAGCCCCCCCCCCCCCTTTGAAGTCGCCAAGAAATGGTAAAATATTGATGACTTAGCGAAATTAAACGATCAACAGTTATGTTCTCTCATAAGCTGTATTCCTGAAACTATCACTGTCTCTGCTAAAATGTTGAAGACATATTCTGCAAATATGTATGAATGATAAATAAAAAAAGAAAAGATTTTCAAAAAAAGAGAAAGAGGGTTCTTTTAGCCGAAACTTTAGACATTTTTATCATTACATTATTTATACATTCATAAATTTTGATTTTATGCACAAGATGAATGTGAAAGTAATTAATGACGCATAATTAGATACGATAGACAATCCCTTGTTTATACATGGCATCATATCTTGTTTGTGAAATGTGTTTCCGTATAATTTGATTTATTTACAAATTGTTCATGTTTGTCGTGTTGATGTGGAATTATTATAAATTCCCGAATTCTGATACTTTACAATTCTGTTGTGTTGGGAATGAACATTAGGAAGATGCATATACTTTCAACATAAGGAAAAATATAAAGCAAATCGAATGCCTTTTTGTGTGCAGATCATGAAATGTACTGAGCTCCACGGGTATTTGTTGTCCCGAGCGCATTAATCTTGACGCCCAAATTCTTACTTGGCTAGTGATACCTTTAGAAAACATGTGTATCTAGATGAAAGTTAGCTCAGCAACATGCGCCATCCCATTGTTTAAGTTTTATTAGGTGATTACACCTCCTATACCCGATTTCGCGGATTCAACGATACCCTAATATCGAGTATTATACGCGATTTCACGGATAATACCCGATTTCGAGTATTCTCTCCGACCTGTTAAAGTCAAATACGTTTTGATTCTTCCGGGAACGGGCAGCTGCATGATTTTGGATTCTATCTCGGCTCCTTGTCCGGCATTAATTAAGTTGATCCGTATTGCATTTCTGCATAAAGATGAAAGTGATACCTCCTCTTTTTCTTCATGTATCTTCAAAACATTCAAAAAACCATTTTTCTCTTGCTCGTAGCTAATTCTGTTGTATTCTTTGCCTTTAACGAAAATTGTTGAATTTCCTAGATTTGAAAAGTCCACGTTTTTTAAGTCTTTATCATTTTTGCAGTTATATCCACATTTAAGCAAGGTAGCTGCAGCCCCGAAAAACCCATTTCTCAGCAAATCGGACAATGTAGATATCGAGCTATAATACCTGCTAAAATATAAGAATGTTAAAGTCTCTTGGATTTAAGGTAAACTTTAGAAAATATATTAATTGATTTCAGTAAAGTTAAAATTCACAAATAGGGCTTTTTGGTTGAATAAATCCAAGATAATGGTGACTTCATAAATGTAATGTTGAACTTACTGCCTTGTTTTTACAGCAGGATCTATTTTAGCTCCACTGCAAATCAACCTATTGAACAATGAAAGGTCAACTTTTGCAACGGTCGCCTTTTCTGAATGGTCGATTTCCATGGAGTTCGTATCTTCTGTCATTCTTTTTATCACATTTGTTAATGGTGTTTCTCCATATCTATTTGGCTTGTTGACACTGCATCCGTGTTCAAGAAAAAGCGAAGCTATTTCATTTCTTGCAGACTCTGCCTCTAGAAAAAGGAGTAAAATACACATCTACAGTATTTAACTTTAGGTTTCGTGTTTTTACTAATTTTTTTTATTAAATTTACCTTATTTATCCAGTAATTTATTTATGTTCCAATAATAAACATCGAAGATATGAAAATCTTATTCAAAATTTAGCAATATTTAAACAAGAGGTCCATGGGCCACATCGCTCACCTAAGTGAAGTCGTGTGAATTTAAAGTTAAGAAAAATATGTCCCACTTTGCTTTGATATGAGAAGGAATATAAATATATCGCTGATGAAAACATCTACTTACTCAAATCGCAAGCTAAATGCAAGCATGTATTTTCCTTTCGATCACACGAGTGAATATTTGCTCCTTTTTCTATAAGATATTTTACAATATCTGTATGCCCTGGCTTAATGGCCAATAATAAGGTCGGTTCGCCATCTGTATGATGATTTGGATCAGCTCCGTTTCGTATCAAAGACAGTATGAAAACTTTCCAATCAGCATTCAAGCCGTAACATTCAATCTTTTGAAAGCACTTATTCAATACAAAGTTGATGTTTGGATCCGCTCCTTTCGATAAAAGGAAACACCCTAAAGAAGCTCGGTCAGAAGAACCTAAAAATGAATTAGATAGAAAATTGCATTTACTCCAGTATCTACATAATTATCTAGCCGTGTAACTGAAAAAAAATCAAATAGAAAAAAATCTGTTGTATTCCTCAGAGCGGTCTCAAACTGTAATTATTTATTCATGATCTTCAATTTTGGAAATTTGTATATTACGTTATCATCTGGAAAAACGGAGCGATCATACATTTCATGGTTGCGTAAATTTAAACACAATCAAAAATAATGTACTAAAAAATACACTGATTAATTAACGTTCAATTTTGTGCATAATATTTAAAGGAAATAAAAATCATTTTCATCATATACATATATTCCTTTAATAATAACATACCTTTCCCTCTTGTCTCACAAAGCAAACTTAATGGGGTATGTCCTTTGTTGTCTAAAGCATTTATATTTGCCCCAAAATCCAAAAGCTGCTGAATAATACTCTCTGTGTTGCACTTTCGGTAGTTGGAACAAAAAGCTTTGATGGCAAGATGTAGAGGGATTCTTCCATCATGATCTCTGCCATGCACATTTGCCCTATTTTCCAATATTCTGTGTACCATATTCTCTATGTCATCTTTTAGAAAATCATTTTAATGAAAAATCGAAAATCTTTTAAGATTGATAAAAATCATAAATTGTGTTTCATTAAAAATTATGTTTATCCTAAGATACATAGTCTACTTATGACAGCCTATTACCTACAAAATCTGTAATTTGGAGTTAAACAGTAACATACTTCACTTCATCGTCGCAATCCAGGGTTTTTATGTTCATTCTTTTTCTACAAATCCTACTAAAAATTCTACTATTTTACCGTAATTGAGCCATTTAATATTTATCAAGTGACGCCAGATTAAACTAAATAAAGGATTCATTCTGTTGCACAATTTGGGTACGTTTTGGTGCGATACCCACAATAAAATTAAATTTACTATCCATGATAGATTTATTGACAAAAACGATAGATAAATAAAAACAGAGACGAGTAACATAGTTACTAGCGTATAAAGCATAATATTAATTTCAAAGACAGTGTTTCAAATCCGGATTTTGTGTGAAGAGTGTCGCATATTTACAAAAGGAAATTCGGACCGAGTTGATGCATTGCTAGAGGTTATGGTTATATATTCAAACATATCCGCAATTTCTAAGCCCTCTCCGATTTTTTTTTTTATCTGATGTTTTCTGGAGATGGCTACAATTCCACAGCATCCCCGTAATGTGCATATATATATATTTTTTTAAATACGGGAGACTGCAGGCAAAATGAATTGTTTTTACCTTCAACTCACTTGTAATTTTTTTATTCACTGTCAACAACATAGTATATTTAATGCGAAAAACATGTAAAATAAATCTTCTTGTTTACCAATTGCTCTACTCAGCAGCCATGATTGTTTACGCGTGATATACTGAAACTTTGGTTTGAAATGAAGAACAACTTTATATTTAAAGCAATTGTAAGTGTTTATAAAAGATTATGATGAATGGTATCACAAAACATCGATAAAGAAAACCATATCAAGTCTTATTTATATGCAAACAGTGATATTTATGCTTGAAATAAGGGCTTTTCTAAAAGATCTACTCCTAAAGATCCTAAATTTGCATTTGCTGTCGCAAAATAAAATTTATGAAGGTCAGAAAACATGGCGGATAAATTCAAGTTGCGATGTTGACATACACGAAAACTAACCGATATATGGATCGTTATCAATATTCTAGGATCGATTTATGTGTTGCATAGCTGCATTTTTGGAGTCCAGGTAAGGAATGTTAAGCCATTTACTGATAATTTAAACGAAGTGTATGCGGGAGTGAATTACTCCCGCAATTGCACCATTACGGAGATCCTAAGGAGTTGTAGCCCTCTCCAAAAAATTATTGAAGCTAAGCCAAATACAACATACTCATTTGTTCTACTGTCGTTACCATTACGAGAACATCATAATTTTGTAGCTGCAGCGATCCTTGTTTTGAATTAGAATAGAAACTGTGGCTTGTGACACTACCTCCATTCTAACATTCCGATTCCAATGTGTAGGGAATCATAATGAAAAGAATTTTAAAACTTATCCCCTTAAGGTATCTTTTAAGAAGTCAACAAGCTCTATATATGTTTCTTTTTGCCACGAATGTCTTATGAAACAAGAAATGACCATCCATATATGTCAAAAATACTTTATAAATACTTAAGAGGCAGTCCACTGAAAATCAGGCAATGGGTGGCACATCGCATGTCATGGATTTTTATTATTTTTTGCATATAGACTTATTTAAGCAAGTGTTTACACATGACAACATCAAAAAAAATTTTAGTGCTCCACTAGTCCTATTTTTGGTAATTGCTCAATTTTAAGTGCAAAAATGTCAACATGGAGGTAAAAAAAATTACTACGTTTTTATTTTGTTTTATATGTACCAGATACGCAAAACCTGGATGTGTCTATCAATATTATTTATACCATAGACTCTTATCTTTAATTTTAATAATGAAAAAGACTCCAATTTATATTTCTTTAGAAAAAAATATGTGGTCCAAAATTGAGTTTAGCAAGTAACTTTTTGAATTCATTATCCAATTTTCATTACGTTATAAAACCCAATACATTTCAATGACAGATTTTTTTTCTCATGTTATTATGAATACAAAGTACAAACTTTTGAGTCACTCAATAAAATCAGTGGGCACCCTTATATTGAGAGAAATAAAAGGAGTCAAATTTACCTATGCTTTACAATTTTTCACAATTAAACCGATCCCGACCGGAATTATATAAAGAAGGAAATACTATAATTGTAATGTTAAATTTGGCTCTTTTGTTGTAATATGGCCAAAAAATTACTTGATTTATTTTTGTACATGTCTTATGGGTGGCAGTTGTCTTTAGTTTTATAACTTTACACATTTTGCATTATTTTCAATCGGGATCGGTTTTATTTCAATCGGGATCGGTTTTTACCGTAAAACTAGAAATATTCTGCATTTAATGTATCAGAAAAAAATATGCTTGTCTTTTATTTCTGTTCAGTAAGTCAACTGTTTTAAAATTATTGTTGTTTATACAATTTATTTAAAATACTAATGTCTTTTACGTACATGAAGATTACAATCATGTATAACATCTGTACGATTTCTTGATACTCGGTATTAAAAAACAAGTATTTGTACATGCATTATGCAACAACTGGGAGTAAACAGCTTATCTTTATTAAATATCTTATTTCCAGCTAAAGTTTTTTTTAATTCTCTCGTGAATTAAAGAGTTCAGTTCTATCATTGGCGAAAATATACTTGCACTACCTAAATGCAGAAAATATTTAAATGTGCACAGTAGGCTTTATGCAAATTTTTTTAAACCTGTCATCTATAAAAGCCGTTTCCCCTATATTTTCATCTTATAAAATTTAATTTTATATTAATAAGAAAATAGGTTATTTCATATATAGTATTATTATTTAAGAGCCTAGAAATCGCAAGCAAAAAGCCGGGACGGGGTGGGGGGCAAGGCGGCATATTAATAAAAAACTTTCATTAATGGGAAAACATTTTAGAATTGGCCAACATGGTCACATTTTTTAACTTCATATTGAATGTGAGTATGTGATTGTTTCAATCACCAAATTTAACCAAAAAAAAAACAAAAAACAAAACAAAACAAACAAAAACAATACAAAACAAATAATACGCCCACGAAATCTTCCGTTTTAGTGGCAAATTGAAGTGGGGAGTTCAACAGTAATTTTCCTCAATAAATATCTTTTAAATCTTATTTTTCACTTTTTTAATAAAATATTTTTAATCGTACCGCGGATCGTTTACTTTGGTTTGACTGCATAGATAAATATAATCAAGTACATGCCAACTTTCCCGATTTAGGCGGGATTCTCCCGATTTTACCCTATCATCCCGCCTTCCCGATCGGGAGAGAGAAAAATGTCCCCAATTTCCCGATTTGAAAAAAATTAAGATTTTCAGTTTCCCTACCGCCGAAATTTGTCAATCGGGATAAGAATATCAGAGTTGTTTATTCAATGCACACAGATAAGTCTCATTGTTTATTTAGCATGCAGAGTTAATTAGCCACAGGAAATCACTTCTCGCTTCAACGCACACGCTGCTGTCCAGGTACAGGTAGCTTATAGCCTGGAGCAGTTAGGGGGTTAATCTTTTCAGTTTGAAGGGGTATGCGAAGTGAAACATATAGATTAAGGGCTTAATTATTAGTCATTGTATTAAAAACAAAAATTAAAGTCAATAAAATGATAATCAACATGTAGTCTTTTACAATTTTAATTTTTCTTTGGGATGGATGGGGATGGGGCTTAAGTGTTAAAAAATTCATGATTTAATTATAGGCCTATTTCTCCAAATTGTTTTGTGTGTGAGATAAAAAATAATCATGCACTGTCTATATACTTACTAATATAGGAAATAAAGTGACACCTGATTTTAAGGGTACATACCAGAAACAAAATGTAAATTGATCTAAGAAGAAAGTGATAACTATTAAGCAAAGATATTTAAATTTGGAAAAATAAAACTTTAATTTGTATTGTTTTATTTGTGCTGTATTTATAAGTGCTATCAATATTATAATTTTAAAAAAGTATTTCATTAATCATTTATTTTCACGTCAAAATGTCGCGAATTTAAAGCTTTGAAAATTGTTGTCACGCGCAAAATCCCCCATGGGAATTTTCAAAAGTTGGCATGTATGCAAGTGGTTTTGTGTGTGTGTGTGTGTGTACAAATATCATGAAATAAACATCTCAACTCCGTTGACTTGAATTAAATGTTGCGTAAATCTAAAATATTCATTTTTCCTTGATAATCAGAAGAAAATAAAATCTCTTCACATCCCAATTTTATAAGAAATATTCAATATAAACAATTAATTATTTGTAGGCTTAGCCTAGTAAATCAGCTTAAAAAATTAGTTCTCGGACATGTACAAAATTACTTTTAGCTGAGACGTTGCCCGTGAAAAAAATACATTTTATATAAAACTAGTGCTAATTGTAACGGGAACCGTTACAGATGTTCCCCAAACGCTCCCCAACTCCCTTTTGGTGCCTTATTCCCTGTTAGCTTAATTAAATAAGACAAACGCGAAACATTTGAGACTTTAACAAAGTTTTATCAGAAGTATTCAATTTAAGCATTGCACGCATGCGCATTTGAATGCATGTGCGTAATGACCATATCATCTTGTCTACACTATTGATATATTTCAATATTCTAAATATTACAGCATTTAATCCCAAAATATGTTTAATCTAGTGTATTTGGAATTTTACTCATTTCACGTGCACGCACGTGCATGCATATGTACGATAACCATTCCCTGCTGTAGGAGTCTATAATATCTATCTATGTTCTGAATCCCATTCTGTTTGGTTGAAAATCAAGGGAGTTATAGCCATTTAAAGTTTCAGCCAATCAGATTGCAGCGCACGTGCATGCGCGTGATTTGATGAAAATTATTATATACCATATTGTAGGATATCCTAAAGCATGCCTATATTTTAAATTTCAAAGCATTTCGTCAAAAAACAAAATAGATATTGAGATTTTTGTTTCAGCCAATCAGAGCGAAGCGCACGTTCATGCACGTGCATGCATGTGCATGATGACTATACCTTCTTCTAGGAATCCGTTATGTTTGTCTATGTTCTAAATCCCATGCTGATTTGTTGAAAAACACGGGAGTTATAGCCATTTAAAGTTTGAGCCAATCAGATTGAAGCGCACGTGCATGCGCGTGATCTGATGAAAATTCTTATACACCATATTGTAGGATATCCTAAAGCATGCCTATGTTTTGAATTTCAAAGCATTTCGTCAAAAAACAAAATAGATATTGAGATTTTTGTTTCAGCCAATCAGAGCAAAGCGCACGTGCATGCGCGTGAGTTCGTGCTAATTTGACAGTATCACATTATCTACACTACTAATCTATCCTTATATAATGAGTTTCAAATCATTTCATCAAAAAATGTAAAAGTTATAGCTATATTAAGTATATCAGTCAATTCACTCATTTCACGCGCACGCACGTGCATGCGTATGCGCGCAAAATGACCTTCGTTCCGCACACCTACACTACACACCTATTAACCCTAAAAAGGTTTTAGCTCAGTTGGGTGAACAGTTTCTGAGAACACTCGCGGACAAAAAAGTACCGGAGAACAAATAAGAAAAAAAATAATAATAATAATAATAATAAGAAACAGAGTAAAAACAATATGTTCCCAAACTCCGTTTGGGGAACATAAATATATGATTATTTAACATGTAGGATAATGCACTCTAAAAAGTAATTGAACAGAAAAAGAGAAATTGTTTGTTTTTAATCGTTTTATTTGCGCTTTTATGCAAAGAATTTACAAACTTCTTTGGAAAACTTAATTGTAACTATTTAATTGTGACGCAATATTAGTCAGGTATATGACGTCACTGATACATCAATGGAAACGTGGATTCAACCTGAATAATTCTGCCAATCTTAATCTTAATCTAAATAATACGTTTGGAGGCGAAAATGAATTCTATTTTGAAAATAAAGTAGTAATTTTTTGTTAAATAATTTTATTTTGTGCATATATTCTAAATATTTCACTAGGATTTCGATCGTAAGGTGTTGAGCAGATTTACCGATGCCACGGGAGATAACTCTTACATCGCAAAATTTCATAAAAACGACTCTATATTTTGACAGAAAACTACTATCAAGAGTGTTTTGCCCACCAATTTTATTTTTGAAACTGAAAGACGAAATATTTCTAGTTTTAGTTCAGCATGAATTATAGTCCTGTTAAATAAGTATTGGAAATTACAGTTCGTTGTTTCTGACCTAAATTCAATGGTTTATATAGGGGAATTCAAGAACACGAAACAAAAGGATATTTTACTAAATAAGCAATTTTAAAACAAATCTTCGATTACATTATTCCATTTGGACTACATTGATATTGTTTTCAATAAAATTTCAAATATTCGTCACATTCGATGTGCCGCCTATTAATACAACCCTGCCTGGTTTTTCGGCGGACTACCTCTTAATATTCAAATAAATAAATATTTAGGACTCCAAAGTCCGATGGTTACGCCAAAGTCTGATGGTCTGCGCCAAACCCCGATCGTTTGACACGCCAAACCCCGATGGTGCTGAAAACAATTAACGTTTATGACGTCATAGTACTTCTGCGCAAAAAAAATAACCATAATCTTTTGGATATAGGTGCAAGACTAACACTTATCAGTCGAAAAATATGTAACAGCTATAAGCTAGATATCTTGAATGGGTGCAGGACTAACCCAAATCAGTCATGTAGTATGCGAGGACTTACCATAAAATCTCTCAGGTGAGATCAAAGAAACACACTGATGTTCAAGAACTACCTGTCATCAGTCGAATGGTGTACAAGGACTTACCCTAATAGCCCTGGTGGGCGAAAACAATTATAACAAAATAAGTAAAATTGTATGCGAGAAAAATACTAAATCAATGGATTTTGAATGCAGGACAACGTCTTGACGTCGAAATATTGTGACGTCATCAACGTTGATTGTTCCTTCACACCATCGACTTTAGCGCAACGTATCTCATAGGAAACTTTGGCAACCGTAAAGACAGCAAGCCATCGGGGTTTGGCGCAGACCATCGGGGTTTTTTGCGAGACCATCGGACTACCAACGCACTTTGGAGTCTTACATACGCACTTTGGAGTCTTACATATATACAATTTTTTGTCAAGAACATGAAGAAAATAAGCATGATGAATATATCTTTTCAGTGAATAAATTATCAAAACCTCAAAAAGATAACAAAATGTATCTATTCATACGTTTTGCAAAGAATTAATCCTTCGCTATACGTAATAAACAAACTGATGTCATTCTATTTTTACGGCCTTAAGCCTTTTAAGCAGGATTTGATAAAATATTCTATTGCAGAATAGGGATGATACGGGTTTTCTTCATTATTTTTCCCCGAACAACAGACATTTGATATTTAATTGGTCCAAATATTCGTCAATTTACCTTGCTTGAAATTGCAAAAGCATCCGAAGAAAACGTGCAGATTCATTTACTTTTGCGTGGTAGTCCAAGAATAGATGACATTTATACTTATGCTGAACAAATCGCTGCTACTAGAGGGTTATAACGCTTTACATGTAGATTTGGAAGAACTCTTTTCAGCAAGTATTCAAAAGTATCGATACAATTAGGTACAGAAAAAATCGCCCTTTTATCAAACAGAATGAAAAGTGGACTTTCCCCGTTACTGTTTAATTGGTTTATCAATGTCCATCTCTTAATAATGTACCACCACGTCATGTAAGAACTCATCCTCATTCATATTTATTGTTAAAAATAGTATGCAAATTGATAATAATCCTTAAATTTTTGTATATTCTTTATGTTTATATAAACATTTTACATAAAACTCTTGCTTTAGGAAAAATGAGGTTGGTGCTTTTCTTGTCAGAACTTAGCTTCGAATTGATTTTAAAAATATATATATTATCTTATCTAATGGTATCAGAAAAATCAAAATATACCTCCCATGAGGCAAAGATGACGACGTGTATTTTGTTTGTCATCCTTTTCGGAAATGTTGGCCCCCTTTTGTACAAGGATTTTCATTGTGCTTAACCATCCTTTTGATGAGACAATTTGTATAGCTGATAATCCTGTCTTATCCCGTTTTCTTACTGTCGATCCGTCACAAGCAAGAAGTGACACTATCTCATCTATCAGATCCACAAGTTTATCCTGATTGTCGTCGAAGTCGTTAAGTCCATGCTTCAAAAACAACAAAAGTGGCGTGTTCCCATTTCTGTCCACGTCATCCAATTTTCCACCGTGTTTTTTAAATATCAGCAGGAAATCCAGAAATTCTTTATAAGACTCGTTCTGTCTCTCTAGTTAATGAAAAATAGAGTATTATACAGCTGTAATTTCATATCTTTTTTTTACATTTTCTTTCCCTTTCTAATGTAGAGAAAATTATAGGTTAAATTTCATTATCATTAAAATTGAATTGATTGATGAATATCAAATAGTATAAAATTAATTTAGGTTTGTTAAGGGATGTACTCTTACGAATTTTTTATGGTACATGTACAAATAAACCACAATTTGGGTCTCCGTTATAATCATCGAACGAGTTATCTATCTTTTTCAACCGAAACCATTCAACATTATGTTGAGACAAATCCATTTAACATGATATTAACGTCCAACACAAGCAAAATAACCCAATACATCAACTGAGTTTTGTAAATACGAGGGGTGATCAAAAAGTTCGCGAACTATCTCTATATCTACAAAACCACAATTCAGATAAGAAAAAAAAATTGGTACACACATAGCCATACACAAGTTCTATAAATAGCATATGCTGAATAAAGTATTACTCCTTGTTTGTGACGTCACAATGTGAAAATGACGTCACTATGCAGATCACTTGTGACAAAAATTGGCTGTCTCAGTTGTACTCGTTCAACGAACGACTGTTAAAATTATTCAGTATCTTGAAAATTCTTTTGTAGAAGCGTATTATAATTTGTACACAGTTTTTAAGACAAGAGACTTCCTACAAATTCAGTAAATGATTGGATTGATCGTTTTAGTGAAGGAAGGCAGATGGTAAAAAATTATATTTGTTGTCCAATGAAAGCAAGTTTGAAAAGAGATGTGTTTTTGAATAAGCAATTTGTTATCAAAGACTTCCAATTTACAGTTTGAAAAATGGTTGAATATTTCAACAATAATATATTTATTAAATTCCTAAATATCGTTTACTCTAGATTTTAAACGTATTAGATATGATAAAAAGGAGACACCAATTCTCTAGTCATCTTAAAAAAAAGGTCTTTCCCGAGACAGAAGATTTGGGTTTCGGTGGTCGTCATGCTTATTTTTGGATAGGATATTCATACAGTGTATCCACCCATTCTGTTTCCGAGATTTGATCATGTTTGACAAATGAACAGTTTTTGTTATAAAAATAAACTTACATGGAAAGAAATATAAAAATCTTTCAGCTTTTGTGACAGAATGCTACGGAGGGGGTCACGTGACCGCATATATCATGTAATTTGCGCATGAGCACAAAGGTGGCAGATGTGCATTTAATTCGGAGAGAATAAATTTAAAATATAATCAACACTGAAACCAAGTATTGTTTCTTTTATAGAAGTTATTCAATTAGTTCGCGAACTTTTTGATCACCTCTCGTACTTTAAGGAGGCTAAAGTCCTAATAAACTCAAGATTTGGTAGGTCAGTTTATCAATGTGCATTTGCTCCTTAAATCTGCTGCGGAATTAGATTATTTTGATTTACAGGGCAACCTGCAGATCGTGAATGGCACACTATCTGTTGCTTATACTAATACTTTCTTACCTAGAGAGAAATCGACCTCGACATTTCTTTTTATTTTTACTAGTATTATGTTAGATAAATTAAGTTCTAAAGAACAGGATTTGGTAGAACAATATTTGAGACATTAGTAGGTAGTACTTGGTATAAGTACAACGAGCAGTTTCGTCTACGCAAAGCCCTTTCACCGTACACTCCATGTGGGAAAGTTAATTCTGAATACTGATTTATGTATGTTTTAGCTGGAAACACGCATACAAGCTACAGTAAGCAAGCTACTAACATGCAAAATATTCCATCAAACAAATTACTATTAGGCAAACTAACTTTGGGTTGTTGTTATGTTTACAATGGTGATAAACCCTGTCTTTTCCCCCAGATGCTGTATAACCACACATGTAGCTAGCGCGGAGGAAAAGTGCTCAAAACAATCGCTCAATTTATTCACTAGGACAGACACCTATAAAACTAGTTCCTTTTCAAAGCATTTGGAAGATTGTAAACATGCCAAATTTTTACTTCCGGGTTTCACTTTTGGTTTTAGGCTACAATATCAGGGTCAACGAAGGGCAAGAGAATTTCAGTAATTTGTGTGAAAATATGTGCATAGCTGAAAATAAAATAAGTAAAGAGGTAGCGCTGCAATGAGTAGGAGGAATGTTTCCAAACTCTCCTTTTGTTTGTATGTAAGTTTCCCCATTAGGTTTAGTCCCCAAAAAGGATGGTAATATTCAATTCCTTCCTCACCTACCATATCCAGAAGATAGTTCTATTAATGATTTTATAGATTTTAAGGCCTGTTCTGTTAACTATGCAAGCGTTGAATCATGTATTACAGATTCTTTAGGAATTGGTACTTCATTGCCAGATCCGACATAAAATCCGCTTTTCGCTTTACTCTCATATATTTACAGTTCCAATGTCTTTGTCCGAAATAAGATTTACAAATAGGTAATGTACTTTATTTCTCAATCAATGTACTGGTTCATTGACAGGCGTTTATACAAATTATCACGCAAGCCAATCGATTGATCACATTATGAAATAAAATAAAGATAAACAGTTATTCCTTAAATCAACCGCAGATTTTGACCTCTCGGGTTTGAAATTTCAAGGTCAATATTATTTTGACAAAATGTAAACCTTTGGGTTTTCTATAAGATGTTATGCGAAAAATTTGCATCATTCCTACATAAGCTTACAAAACAATATTCAGGAAATGCACACCTTATTATGTTCCCCAAACGAAGTTGGGGAACATATTGTTTTTACTCTGTTTCTTATTATTATTATTAAGGTCTTCCGACTTCCTTCGGAAGACCTTATTGTTTTCCTTCTGTTTTTTATTATTATTATTATTCCACTTTTCATAGTACACGTCATATCTCAGCTGTGCGTGGACGAATTTAAGCGATTTTTTCTGGGAAGATGCATCTTGTCAATATCTCCAGGGGTGTCCCTCACTTTTTTGAAATTTTTCTCCGTTCGCGATTTTTGGGGAAATTTGTATTTTTTAAATGGAATTTTGTCGCAAAAAATTCTCGAGAACGGCAAAAGATATGAAACTGAAACTTGCTGAGGTGATAGAACATCGATTGTAGATGTGTTGATCGACCTTCATTTTTCGTCGTTTTGACTTCCGGCTGCAAACGGAAGTGCATTAAAAAAGTCCAATTTTTCAACTTTTTTGTTTTTCAACATTTTTCATTAGTATTTACAGGGTTTATAATGTGTCTTATGAGAATTCTAAATATGTATTTAGTATCTTGATGCGTGCATCTATTGAAAAGACATGACCAAACCAAACTTTGTCCCACTGTCGGGGGGTTCGAATCCCGCTGTGGGCGTTGATATTTTTTTTTTTGTTTCTATCTTTTTTTCAGTTGCAAAAAACTGTTCTCTCTATTTTAACATATATGGAAGATTTTGCCGATTTTTAAAAGCTTTTTTTGAAATATTTTGAGAAATACCTGTAATAATCATGAGATATGTTAAGAGGCTGCTGTAAATGAACGTAAACGAGAAAAATACATTCTGAAATTTTATGGGATGACGCAGCATAGAATTCTAAGGAAAATCGGTCGGAAGACCTGCTTGTTGCACCAGCAACAAGAACGCATCTAGTTATTATTATTTTTCTTCTTCTTCCTGGGTACTTTTTTGTCCGGGAATGATCTCGTAAACTATACATCCGACTAAGGTGAAATGTTTTTAGGGTCAGTAGACATGTTATGTAGATTTGCGGAACGAAGGTCATTTTGCGCGCACGTGCTTGCAAGAGCGTGCACGTGCAACATGTGAAATGACCGATTTAATTTATATAGGCGTAACTTTTTTAATATTTGATGAAATGCTTTGAAACTTATAATATAAGGATATATTAGAAGCATAGACAATATGACATGGTCAAAATAGCAAGATCTCACGCGCATGCACGTGCACTTTATTCTGATTGGCTGAAACTAAAGTCTCAATATCTTTCTTGTCTTTTGACGAAATCCTTTGAAATTTTGAAAATAGCCATGCATAAGTATATCCTACAACATGATATATAGCAATTATCATGAAAACACGTGCATGCACGTGCGCTGCAATCTGATTGGCTTAAACTTTAAATAGCTATATCTATAACTCCCTTGATTTTCAACCAAACAGGATGGGATTTGGAACATAGATAGATATACTGGACTGCTACAAGAAAATATGGTCACCATGCACATGCATACACGTGCATGTACGTGCGCTGCAATCTGATTGGCTGAAACTTTAACAGCTATAACTCCCTTGGTTTTCAACCAAACGGGGTGAGATTTAGAACATAGATAGATGTAACGGACATCTACAAGAAGATATGTTCACCATGCTCATGTATGCACGTGCGTGCATGTGAAATGAGCAAAATCAAAAAAAACACTTGAATGAATCTTTTTAATACTTTTGGATTAAATACTTTAATATTTAGTATATTTAGATATATAGATTGTGTAGACAAGATGATATGGTCATTACGCACATGCATTCACATGCGCACGCGTACAATGCTAAAATTTGAATGAACTTTGTACACTTCTGGGTAAACGTTGTTAAAGTCTCAAATGCATCGAGTTTGTCTTATTTAATGAAGCTTACAGGGAATATGGCACCAAAAGGGAGCTGGGGAGCGTTTGGGGAACATCTGTAACGGTCCCCGTTACAATTAGCACTAGTTGACTATTTAGATGATTACTAATACATTGGAGCACTTTAGAACACTTTGTTTATATTTATTTTTCCTAAGCATTAGATTTTACACGTAAAAAATGACCATGTCGTTACTTAGAGATAAGATCATTAGATTACAAGAAAACATCCAAACAGTGTTGCAGGTCAAAAAGGTCACACCTAAACCTACACTTTGAGGGCTGCTAAACACTTGGGCTCAGTGGGAATTCTTTGAGATATGACTTTCCTAGAGCTGTTCCCTGTGCTACTGGCCCTTGCACTTTATAACAAATACCTACAAAAGACCAAGCTTCTTTTTTACATTGACAACATGTCGTGGTACACTTTATTCACAACTCCACTAGCAAATCCGATAAAGTCATGAACATTATCCGGAAACTTTTAATCATTACACTGCAATACAACATACAAAAAAAGCAAATTCAAAGAATTGTGGTCCCCCGCTTTCGGTGTCTTTTTGGGTGAGATGTCAAATATGAACGCCCTAGTATATGTCATTTAGAAATTATCACCAAAGTTTATTTAAAAAAAAATAAGGTTAATCGTGAAGGCCTAGGTAAAGGAGTCAGAAATCATAGCTTGCTCGGAAATATCTTGTCATAGGTAATGCACATGTCAAATATGAAAGCCCTATGCCTTCTCAATCAAAAGTTAAAAAAAAACAAAAGGCGTTTGTGAAACACTGATGACCCCGTGTGGCAACAAAGCGAAGATTTAACTGTTCTTAGATGCAAATTAAATATACTTGAACCCAAATTTTTAAAAAAGTAGGTCAAACAACAAGGTAAAGGTAAAAGGATCAAAGTTCTTGGTATCCAATGAAAGATCTTCTCGCAAGAATTACATATTTGAAGTATGAAAGCCATAGCCCTAACCCTTCAAAAGTTATGGCCTAGGTTAAAGTTTTAAAAAGTGGGTCAACCTCCAAGATCAAGGTCAGAAGGTCAAAGTTCTTGTTATCCAAAGAAAGGACTTCTCACAAGAATTACATATGTGAAGTATGAAAGCCCTAGCCCTTACCGTTTTAAAGTTATGACCAAGGTTAAAGTTTTTTCAGAAGTACGGAAATCTCCAAGGTCAAGGTCAAAAGGTCAAAGTTGTTGATATCCAACGAAAGGTCTTGCCACAACAAATACAAATGTGAAATATAAAAGCCCTAGTATCTACAGTTTAAAAGTTATGGCCAAAGTAAAAATTAAGAATTTTTGTGTAAAAGTGGGTCAAACTCAAAGGTCAAGCTCAAAAGGTCAAATTTGGTGATACCCAAAGAAAAGTCTTGTCACAAGGAGTACACGTGTGAAAAATGAAAGTCATAGCTCCACTAAATCAAAAGTTATGGGCAAGGTTAAAGTTTTTGTGACGGGCGGACAGATAAACTGACTGACAGACAGACGAATGAGATTTAATGCCCCCGCGCTTTCCCGAAAGCGGGGGACAATTAAAGCCTCCTTAACCATACTAAAGCAAACTTAACTGCTGAGTGCTGATGCAATATCTCGTTCACAGTCGCTTCCGACACTTTGCACCAGAAGCAGAATTCTTCACAATACAAGTTCCAAACCATGTATAGGACATTTAGATGAGGCATCAAGGCTTTTATGTTTAGTATTTTTTTAAAAATATATTTTTCTTTGAATCATCCAAGCATTTACATCAATTGATATTTTTCAAAAAAAATGGTAATGCCTGCTGATTTTTTGTCTATGAACATCTGATGACACTATAATCTTAAATTAAGAATATCTGAAAAAATTATCAGAAGGTAGGGTACGTTGCATATGTCCTATTTAGATACAGTAACTAAATGAGAAATGTTTATTGAAAAAGAGAAGTACAGCTTATTAATGTCACAAGATTTAAATTATAGTACAAGATGACAGCGAATCCAAGCACGTAGATGTAGACGAGTCTCTAACTGTGAATTATTATCCCCTCGCGCAACTAGTTGCAGAGGGGATATAGCATCGCGAATGTGCGTATGTATGTGTGTGTGTTAGTGTGTTAGTGTGTTCGTTACCTTGTGGGCAAGATTGACAGAGAACCATTGCATTAACCTTTCTCAGCGTTTACATACTTGTGTGGCAGTATAAAAGGACGAAGCCTATTAATTTTCAAGTCCGTTGATGAAGTATTACTTCAGATATCGCGTTTTTACTGCCTCGAAACACTGACATTTCATGTACGAGTTGACAATAATCTTTTGTGGGCAAGATTGACAGAGAACCTTTGCATTAACCACTCTCAGCGTTTACATACTTGTGTGGCAGTATAAAAGGAAGAAGCCTATTAATTTTTAAGTTCATTGATGAAATATTTCTTTAGATATCGCATTTACACTGTCTCGAAACCCTGACATTTTATGTACGAGTTGACAATAATCATTTCCGCTAGGGAACCAGTTTAAAAACCGCGTCGAGTCTGTGGGAACCAGATTAATAGAATTTGATGAACGTCGCGGTTTCATTACCAAACTCCACCAGGTGTCTTGGAATTTGGGATGCACGTTAAATTGAAAGTGTGTGTGTGTGGGGACTATATGCGGTATATTGCATATATTTGCCCCCACAAAAGTCAAATTTTGAAAACTTCCTGAAATGTGCTGAATTCAATAAATTGTATGAGAAAAATATAAATTAACAGAAAATATTATAGTTTCAAAGCAGTGTATTCACAATTTTTGTTTTTATGACGTCACAAACTAGTCCGATTTTATATCCTTTTTCAGAAAGAGGACAAAATGGACAAAATTTCAACAATTTTAGCTTTAAAATTTATAGAGCGCAAGTTTGTTCAGGAACAATATTGACATATTTCATTGATAGTATCATTCTACACATTATATCAAAATATTGATCCTGAACACACATGCACTCGGTGACTTTTACTCAAAATATCGACGAAATATGTACATTTTTCTGTAAAATTCATAAAAAACTGAAATTTACGTCATGTTTGTGACGTCATTACGTACATATGGCGTCATAACTTATGAAAATATTCAGTGCTTTGAAGTCAGCATATACTCCCCTGTTTAAGAACTTAATTATATACATCTCCATCAAAGTATGATTTGGGGGGCAAATATTGGTTATTACCGAATAAAGTTCTTTGTAAAAAAAAGTGGGAGGCTAAGCCCCCCCCCCCCCCCCCCACCCCACCCCACCCCGATTCCGACGTCTATGCCACAAGTTCAAATAAACTCTCGATGTACATTGTTATTTTTCATTACGAAAAAAATGCGTATTGCCTGGAACTGTGAAATATACTAATTAGGTTGGTAAATAATTAAAATCACTGAGACTTGTACATGTAGCACGCGTGATATGTTTCTACTAGGTATAAGGGAAACTGCCCAATTACGTATGCATATTATGACCCCCACCCCCTCCCAACTTAAATGCTATGCAATTTGATTTTTGTTAAAAATAGACACCCCCACCCCCTATAATTTTGTTAAAGAAATAAATAGAGCTGAAAAACAATTTAATACCTTTTATTAAACTTTACTACCCCAAATTAGGTATCAATGTTATGCCCCCCCCCCCCCCCAGCCAACCAAGAAGCGTTGTACTTTGCATTTTGTAAAAAGAAAAAAATTGGATCAACAACAACAACACTCCACTTATTATTTTTTCAAAAGTAAGGGAGTTGATCCTAATCTTGCGGGTTTGAATCCCACTGTGGGACGTGGAGACTGGTCCTTCGAATGAGACCGTGTAAACCAAGGGCCAATGTCCCAATAGATGCTGGTACAAAAGGATCCCTCACTGCTCAATGACCGTCAGTGCATAGTATGAGAAAAAATGGGCAGCTCTTCACGGGCAAGCCTTCATATGAGCAAAATATTTATGAGAGGGACATTAAAGAAGATACGTTGTACTATCAATCTTTGACATGTTTAACGTCCCTCTAGAGAATTTATCTCTCATGAGGTATTACCATTACCAGAGATGTTCCTGCCGCGAGGGGATGCTCCGCTTAGCGGTGCCCTTGTTTACTTTGAAGTGCACAATAGTCAGGTAGTAAGGTCAAATTAAAAGTAGCCAAGTCTATAACTGATAAATATTCAAATTTATAGAATCCTCTTAAGTAATCAAACTTCAACAAAAATTATGGCACAAATGAATTAATGAAAGACAACAATCTCTTTTTCTCTCTTTCTTTTTTTTTAAAAAGCAAACAAATGAACTTTTAAATAGCACACATTCACGTCTTATTAACCTGTTAGAGCCGTTTTATTTTAATTTAGATTACTCTTTAAAGTAGCTTTGGCAATTCAAATAAAAGAAGAGAAAAAATTGGCTGAATATATTTGCTAACAACATGAAAAATGATCTGATTCTGTAATTTACCTTCATCATGGAACTTGCGTGACCAGCATAGATGTAAAATTCCACTTTGATACTCTTTGACTGACAAATCTGCACCTTTGTCAACCAAAATGGTCATAAAATTAAAATGTTTTCTGTGAGATGCTAATACAAGCAAGAAATTTAAACGAGACTTTCCGCAAATTTCTCCTGCAAGTAACGCCTCTTTCATAAAAACTGATAACCATTTGAAATCGGTGCGCCTATTGCAAAGGTATCCTTCGTATTCCTCCATTGCTCTTTGAAAAACTGTCATCCCAGATGCATCTTTAATGTTCAAATCGGGATTCTTCTTCATTAATAGCGAAAGAATATGATATCTAACATTTTTATCTACAAAAGAAAATAATCATAATGAAAAATTAGATTCTTTAGAGACCTTTTTGTATTGAGTAAATTTATTATGAACCTATTTTCACAAATGATTGTTGATATAAGGAATGATATGATAAAACTGCTAATTTCTGTTATTTTAGAATCATTTAAAACATTGCTGTGACGTGATGCCTTTGGTCTTGTAGTCTAAAAATTTACCTGTAGCCGTCCGATAATAATAATTACCAGTCCGATAATATATTATCGGACGGCAATGATTACAAAATCGGACGGTATTTAAAAAACAAAAAGAACAGTGAAAAAAGGCTAAATATGTCCAAAAACCAATAAAATGTTTGATAAAAATTCAAGGAAAGCAAACGCAAGGAAATTAAGTTGCTACAAAATAGCAAATCCATGAAAAAAATCGAGTTAATTTAAACCTTCCTCAAAATTAATACTTTCCACTTTTAAAAGGTTTCCCTTACCAAAATAATCACCTTCTGGCATCTTCTGGCATTATTGCCGCAATATTGCAGCAACATTCTGGCAATACATTGCAGCAATATTGCGGTAATATCGTTTTTCGTATGTAAATTAGATTTGCGGCAATACTGCCAGAAAAAGTGTTGCGGCAATACTGTAGCAACATTCTGGCAGTATATTGCAGCACTATTGCGGCAATATCGTTTTTCGTATATAAATTAGATTTGCGGCAATATTGCCAGAAAGGTGTTGCGGCAATGTTGCTGCAAAGCAATTGCAGTTCTAGTACATGTATTATTTCAGGTTTTGCTGCAGCAATATTGGGGCAACACTGCAGTACTATATACCTATATAAATTGGTATTTAATAGAAATAATGATCTATCAATCTAACAATTAACAAACTGTGCTGAGGAACATAAAAATCAATAGCATAATAAGCTAGAGAGTCAGTAAGAAATAGCTACTTAAGCTTAATATGCTATTCTATGAAAATATAAAAAAAAATTGTTAAAAAAAGATGTTTTTGAAACATTATGCCCCAAGCGACAACAAAGTTTGAAAAACCATTTTTAGCATATAGGTCAAAGTCACAAGGTCATTGATCTTGGTGTCATTTGAAAGAACTTAATTAGTGGAATATATATATATATATATATATATATATATATATATATATATATATATATATATATATATATATATATATATATATATATATATATATATTTTTATGCGCCGGAATTTTTTTCGGGGCGCATATTGTTTTTGTCCTGTCTGTCTGTTTGTCTGTCTGTTGTCAACTTTAACCTTTGCCAAAACTTTTGAGAGATAGAGACTTCATATTTGATATGCGCACTTCACTAATTAAACACTTTCAAATAACACCAAGGTCAATGACCTTGTGACCTTGACTGTGACCTTTATGCTAGAAATATCTTTTTCGAACTTTGGCCATAACTTTAGAACCGTGAAAGATAGAGACTTCATATTTGGTATGCATTCTCCACTAATAAAACACTTTCAACGGACACCAAGGTCAATGACCTTATGACCTTGACTGTGACTATATGCTAAAAAGAGCTTCTTTCAAATTTTCGCCATAACTTTTGAACCGTGAGAGATAGAGACTTCATATTTGGTATGCATACTTCACTAATTAAGCACTTTCAACTTACACCAAGGACAACGTGTGACCTTGACTGAGACCCATTTGCTAAAAATTGCTTTTTAGAACTTTGTTGCCGCCGAGCGCATAGATGAGTGTTTCACAAACACATCTTGTTCAAATTTAAAAAAAAAAAACATTTTCACAGTACACTCAAAAAAGCCCCGGCCTTACATCAAAATCCCCAACCCAGTGGCTTTGAATTTCATATTTTAGAAGGCTCACCTGCTCATAATAACCTTGCAATAAGTTTACACTTTCATAAGAATCCTAACCAAAAATGATTATGAATAACCCTAAAAATCTAAAATCAAATTTGCTGTATTTAAACAAAAATGAAATGTATTAGATATTAAGAAAATTGAATTTTAATAATACCCTCCGAGTGAAGTACTGTATGCAGTGCTGTCCGTCCATGATTGTCTATGATATTAACATCTGCTCCCCTTTCTAGCAGCCTCTCTACAACCACATCTTCATTTTGTTCACAAAAGTAGAGAAGAGGTGTTGTCCTTAGGCGATTTATTACATTTACGTTAAGCTCCTTGGGTGAACTTAACATCTGTAATGTCACAGCTGCGATGAGAGATCTGTTTCTTAAAAACGTAACACCATTTTGTCGCTCCCAAAATTTGGAAAAGAGACTATTGCATATAAATGTTGTTCCTTGCTCCTGAAGCAGCACGTTAAGAAAGGAAAGATCATCTAAAGAATAATTTTTCACTTAGTTTTGTACTGATAATTTCAAATGAAAATTCGAAACAAAGCATATTATGATTTCAAACAACAGATAATATATTATATATTACCCAACATGACACATTTCTCTAATATATTTTCTTCTTTAGAAAACGGATCAGCTCCTGCTACTAGTAACTTTCGGAAGTCCTCTGCATTTGTTCTAAGAGAAAGACATAATGAAGTGTTGCCATTTCCATCCTTTGAATTTGAATTCATATTGACTGGCAAAAGAATAGTACAGTCCTTAGGCTTCGGTTCAATGTTGAATCTGTACACAGAATATGCTTTAAATTCCTTTTAATGCAAATGTTGATTTCAAAATAAATGTTATTTCAACTTACCTACCTAAATAAGAAAGAGGACTTCTTCAATTTAATTTATTAAAAAGTGTATTAAAATATCTTTAAACTAATAATATCTTAATTTTGATTCCCATTTCAAGCTCTCTCTTTTTGTGTAAAAGTGGGTCAAACTCCAAAGTCAATGTCAAAATGTTAAATTCGGTGGTACCCAAAGGAAGGTCTTGTCACAAGAAATACATATGTGAAATATGAAAGTCATAGCTACACTAAATCAAAAGTTATGGGCAAGATTAGAGTTTTTGCGGACAAACAGACAAACAGAAAGACAAAGAGACAGACACGACAAAAACTATATAGCCCCGAAACTTCGTTTACAGGGGCATAACAAAGTCTGAATAATGCCTTCATTTCTTTGTAATATGAATAAAAACGTAAAATATGAATATAAGAAATAAAAAATATCATTTTTCGAGTTTCATTGGGATATCACATGAAATCGGTACATGATCAAATCTATAGAATTTGATCACGTGACCAACTTCATGTCATACCCCAATGAAACTCTAAAAATGATATCTTATTTCTAAAATGACAAACGTTTTATCCCATAGCACTAGTTTTTTTTCCAAAGAACTTCTTTAAAAAAGTTTTTTTAAAGTAGGTCATAGTCCAAGGTTTACAAGTACATTAATAGTAAAAATCTTTATAGCTCTGATATTATCTCACCTCGTTTTTCTTTTTTAATTTGGTTCGATGGAATATGCAATCGACAGGATAAAAACAAAAAAGAGCACTTGAATCAAGTTTTGAAGGAATTTTTTTTTATGATGATGGTTTATTAATGATTATGTGGAGATAACGAACAATATTTGAGCTCAAAAATCCATTCGAACAATACAAATCAGGAGCAGAGCAAACACGGACTTCTAAAACATTAGATGTGGGATCAGGTGTCACGGAGGAGTGAGCATCCCCCGTCTTTGGGTACCACAAAATTTGACCATTTGACCTTGACCTTGGAGTTTGACCGACTTTTACACAAAAATTTTCCTTTTGCCATATCTTTTGAACAATAGATACCCGGACATTTATACTTCAAATATGTATTTTTTGTTGAAAGACCTTTCATTGGATACCAAAAACTTTGACCTTTTGACCTTGATCTTGGAGATTTCAGTACTTGTGAAAAACTTTAAGCTTGGCCACATCTTTTGAACGGTAATAAAAAGGCTTTTATACTTTACATATGTAATCTTTGTGAAAAAAACTTTATTGGATACCAAGAACTTTGACCCTTTGATTTTGACCCTGGAGTTTGACATACTTTTAAAAAGCAAACCTTTTAAAGGGTTATGGCTAGTGCTTTCATACTTTACATATTTAATCCTTGTGACAAGACCTTTCATTGGCTAGCAAGACTTTTAACCCTGTGACCTTGACCTTAGAGTTTGACCTACTTTTAAAAATGTTTAACCTTGGCCATAACTTTTGAACGGTTAGGGCTAGCGCTTTCATACTGTACATATGTCTTCTATGTGGCAAGACTTTTCATTGGATACCAATTACCATGACCTTTTGACAATGACCTTGGAGATTTCTGTACTTATAAAAAACTTTAATCTTGGCCATAACTTTTGAACACTCAGGGCTATTGATCTCATGGTTCACTTATGTAATCCTTGTGAGAAGACCCTTCATTGGATACAAAGAACTTTGACCTTGCCCGTGGAGTGTGACCATCTTTTAAAAAGCAAACATTGACCATTACTTTTAAAGGGTTATGGCTAGTGCTTTCATACTTAACGTGTGTATTTTTTGTTGCAAGACCTTTCATTGGATACCAATGACCTTGATCTTGAAGATTTCTGTACGTATGCAAAAACTTTAACCTTTGCGTACTTTCATATTTCACAATTGTATTCGAGTGAGAATACCATACTTTTGGTACCAATATATTAAATTTGTATTTAAGAAAAGTTTAATCTTTGCTATGTTGCCATACGGGGGCATCAGTGTTTCACAAACGCATCTTGTTATTTACTGAAAATTTCGGTAAGATTGATAGGAACGCGAACTCCTGCGCATTGAGAAATTTTAATATAGTTTACGGACATCAGCTTATACCAAAAGCAATATTAGTAAAGTAAGTAAGTATGAACTCTGGACTATGAATTAGTCGTTTCGGAGTTTAATAAGAAAATTTATTGATTTATAAGTGCAGATTAAGAACGTCACATATATCATTAAGCAGATATATAGTAACCTATGGTTTCCTATCTTGGGAAACTTATGGTAAACCACTGGTTGATTGTTTCCATGTCGGGAATCTATGTGGAACCACTATGTGGGTTCCATAAATGAAAACTATATGGAAACTACTGATGTTACGATTCCCATATGTTTCCATCGGGTTTCCAAATTTGGGAAACCTGGCTTTTCATCCTGTGAACCGGTTCGTTTCTTACCTTATTTTTGAGATATTGATTGACATATATACATCTATTCCATGCCCTACAGTGTCAAAGTAGAATTTCTCAATCTTTACAGGCACATTTTTCTGTCCATAATAGATTATTTTTATATTTAGATAAAATATAAATAAGTGAACTTCAGTCTTGTATCTTTAAAAATAAATATCTGAATATTTTGAGTATGAAGTGTTGAAAATTCAAGTTTTTTCCTCATCACACTGCATCTGGATAGGACAAATTGCGCAGTTAAGACAACTTAAGAAAAAAAAAATTACAAATATAATTCAGTATTTAAAAGAAGTCCTTCATGTAATTGATTTACTGTAAAAATATGAAATGGTGATGCTTACCTTATATTGCAAAGGAATCATTACCAAAATACAATCATGATAAAATCAAGTCATGTTTACATTTTTAAGGACGGGAAATCCTATGACGTCACACGAGTTGATTGATTTTCATAAGTATTATTGTTCCAAACAATCCATCATGGTATGGCACCTGAATATTTAAGAGACGCAGTTGAATTCATTTTTTCTAATGTTTACGTTTAACGTTCTGAAACCAATAAATACGTTTAAAAATTCTTTCCATATTCCCTTCTTCATTTATGGAATAAATTACATGTACCTTTGTATGTACGTTTTTCACCAACTGTAGAAACACTTCGTTAAAATGTAGAAAAGTTATTTTTACTTCCGGCAAAACTGTTTAAGTAAATCCTCAATTCTATACATAATCTCAAACGTCCTTAAATTTTCTATTTACAAGTTATATTTTTTTTTATTACCTAATGAAACTAATTTTGTTGTTGTTGTTTTTTTTTTTTTTAGAGATTTAACATTTTCATCTGTTCTGCATGTGTTTTCAGTTTTTCTTATCTTTCAAACGGAACTATTAACTGCAGATGTCAATATATGGTTTTCCTATGACGTATTTTGCCTCGGGGTTATTCGCCTTCGCAGCCATCTTGTAGGGCAAAGCAGTGAATTTTCCACTTTGAGCAATCAATTTTAAACACGCATACCAGAAATATATGGGGGAAAATGTTTACAATCTTATAATTATGAATTAATAGACGTTTTAACAACGTATATTCATAAGAAAAATAGTGTTATCTTTACCTCAGTAACCAGTGTAACAAATTGAACTGGTTGAATAATGAATGCATCAGTGAATGTTGCCCGACAATATGGCGGACTGCGATCTATTGACCGACACCGTATTTTGGGAAAACCGCTCCGGGTTTCAAATTTAGTTGTAACATTGCATGCATGGTAAACAATCTTTTTCTTTGATCTTTGGACATTATTTTATAAAAATGTAAGATTTCAATAAAAGGATATTTTATTTAGTGAGAGTTACTTTAATACACTGTGTGACATGGAGACCGGTCCTTCGGATGAGACTGTCTAAACCGAGGTCCCGTGTCGCAGTAGGTGCTTGCACAAAAAGATCCTTCCTTGCTCAATGGCCCTCAGTGCCGAGTATAGGACAAAATTTGCAGCTCTCCAGCGGCAAGTGGTGGCGTCTCCATATGAGTAAAAAATTCTCGAGAGGGGCGTTAAACAATATACAATCAATTATATAAATCAGTGAAACCTTGCATTTTGGAAAAAAAATTATCAAAAGATCAAATGATTGTTTTCCACTGACCTTCATGTAATGTTACATATAAATTCGAAACCCGGATTGTTTTTTTTTTTCGAAATACGTTGCCGGTCAATATTGCAGTCAATTGACTGGTGCCAGCAGTCAATAAATCGGTTTAAAAAGTTAAGAAAAACTTATTCTCAGCGACGTCCACTACGACATCTCAGTCCACTTCCGCACAACGTGATTAGAGATTTTTTGCACAGACTTCGACCGCTTGTTTCAATCAATACGGATTGAAATAAATTAATTGGCTGCTCGCTTCAACTTTTTCCTTTGGACTTCCCTTACATATGTAAGTCTCTTTCACGATACAACTTTATTTATTACCTTTAAAAGGTTTAAATCCAACAAAATATAAAGTTGTTGAATTTTCAAAGAAATATGGGTTTAAACCTCCGATGCTGAAGAGTTCCACTATACTCTGCTTTGAATAATTCGTAGTATAGTTCATTCCTATAGGAAATAGTAGTAGAACGAATAATTCGATTGAAGTCCGAGCAAAAAATCCCTAATCACGTCGTTTGGAAGTGGACTGAGATGTCGTAATGGACGTCCGACAAAATATTTTAGTCCCTATGACATCTGTTTCATATTTAGATATTCTACTTGAGAAAGACGTCAATGGTAATTTTAGACTAACAACCAAGCTTTATGACAAACAAGATGACTTTAACTTTTCAATCATCAACTTCCCCAACTTATGTAACAATACACCTTCATCACCTGCATACGGGATTTATATCTCTCTGTCGATTCGATACATGTACAAAAGAGCATGCTCTAAGTA